GCTCCTTGTTTCTTTCCACCCCATCCCATAAATCAAAGGCCTTGATGTAAGCTCTCATTCTTACTGCACAAGCTGTATAATTTTGCCTTGAAAAAACTGGATCCTTCAAACTGTTGATGTTGGAATCTATCTAAAGAAATGGAATCAGAAAAGAGACATTTATTATTTTTTTTTTCACTCAAAAGTCATGGCCGCTCAAGGATTAGAGTAGGCTCTGATCCCATGTAAAGTGTTTATATTGTCTAAAGAAAAATAACGAAGATGGAGAGCAAAACAATTGAAGGATTTCATCCAGACTTGAAATATGTACAAGTCTGGTATAATGGACAAAAAAAAAAAAGAGTAGTAACCATATGAACAAAGTAGTTTTTCCCAAACTTTTAGTACATTTTCTAAAAGCATTGACCAAGAGCAACTAAACATGAAGACAAACTAGAATTAAAATGCAACAAAAAAACCAGGAAATAAACTGAACTAAGTTTGTTTGAGGAATTCTAGTTCTTTAAATCTCCATTTCTTTAAAAATACCAATAAATTATGTGCAAACTTGCTGTCATAACCTCAACAAAGAATAGGTGCAGTGTAATTTGGTAGTTGAGGATTTGGCTCCTTGTTAGGTTTGGCATTCTAGTTTTTAAAAATAATAAACATAAACTCATAAATTATTATTGCTTTATGATTTATTTTTAAATGTTTGTTTCTTTGTCTTTTTATTTAGGTGTTTCATCTGAAATATGAACGAAGTGAGATATATAATGAGGAACTTGAAATTTTAGCTTGTGGACCTGACCAAAGGGTAACTAAACATGCTAGTTATCTTGTTAATGGTTGGAAATTTTGTACAAAAGATCATGATATGAAATTGAAAACGCAAAACAGTGGAGTATTTGTCAAAGGAGATGAAGGCACCGGGAACATTGATTATTTTGGAGTATTAACTGATATCATAGAGTTAGATTATCAAGGGCATACAGTTGTTCTTTTCAAGTGTGATTGGTGGGATGTTTCTAGTAGAGGTTGTAAGGAAGATAAATATGGGTTCACGCTAGTAAATGTCACTCGTAAACTGAAGAGTAGTGCTAATGAACCTTTTGTATTAGCTACTCAAGCTGAACAAGTGTATTATGTTCCAGATACAAAAGATCCAAATTGGCAGGTTGTAATCAAGACAAAACCCCGTGATTTGTATGATTTTCCCCCTGATGAAGATGCATTTGGACCATGTCAAGAAGATGAGGACATTGGAGTGATACAAGAAGAGAATTTGTTTGAAAGTGAGGATGGAATTTTAAGTCGAGAAGAATTAGTAGAAGTTACTGTTGAACAAGGGCCAATAAATTCAGAAATGGTAATTGCAGATGAAGATGAGGAGGATGAGATTGATTATGATGATGACCTTCTTTCTAGTGATGATGAAATGTTGGTGCTCGATGAAGATACAGATGATGATTTGTAATCATGTATTTTATTCTTTTTGGTCTAGTGTTGGTGTGTTATGATTTTTGGTAATTAGTAGTTACAATGGAATGAGTTGTTTTATTATAATATTTAGGTAATATTAGTGTTATTCTTATCGCATGATATTAACATTACCTTTATAGTGTCGACACTCAAACATTGTTTGGTTTTCAAGTCTTCCATTATAAACTAGTAAAGATGGTTCTTAATCTTTTACTTTATGAATACTTTGGCCTTAAATATTTTTGTTTATTCATTTATTTGTTTAGATTATAATTTTTGATGTCCTTAAATTTTTTAAATGTTTGCAAATAAGTCTCTAAACTTAAATTATTATGCAATCATGTTATTTCTTGGTAAATTAATTTTGATTTTATTAGTTTTATACTCAATTTTTACCTGTGCTTCTGATATTTTTGTCAACAAAAAGTCATTTCTTTTTTTTTTT